CTTACACAGTAACTGCGTGACCACCAAAGGTGTATAAGATATTGGTGGCTCCAGTAAAATAAAGCACTAGCTTTGTTGGACCTGAGTGTTTTACACCTTCCGTCTAGAAGAATTCCAAAAAATTCAACAATAACAAAATCTTAAACAGTGCTAATTAAAAGATAAATTCGTTTTAAAGAGAATATTAGTCGAATACATCTAAACTTTTAAACGAAAAGTTTATTTTAAAAAAAAAATATACAAATTTTGGTTCAGATACACAGAATAATTCATTTCTTTTCCTCAAACTTAAAAGCGAAAATACGAATTTTATATATAAGGCATATACTGTCACCTCATTGCAAAGCATAAAAATACGAAAACGACAGTGTAGTCATCTATTATTATTATTATCTTTTTTTTGCTAAACAAACTATTATGATTATCTTCATAACAAAAATATAATCTTTTCTTTTTCTTTTGTTTTATTTACTATGCAAAATTTCCTTAACATTTTCTATTTTTTTCACTATTAGTTACTTAAAACTAAACTTACTGTATTATTTCCTGATAGAAAACATACTCTCCCTTTCTAACTATTATTAGAACATGTCTAAAAATCAATGTTCTATATTTTCTCTGCAAAATTATCGTAAACGTAATTTTTATGAAACGGAAAGAGTATTATTATTATACCTGGCCGTGGATAATGGAGGCAATGGCTAAGTACCAGGCAGTGTAAGTGGTCATACCCAAACCAAGGAATGACCAAATTCGGTAATTATGAAAAGAAGGTATAAACACAGTGGTTGCACAACACGCGCCAAATATGTAAGTCCATGTTCTCTTGTCCAAGTGATCGTTGATGTAGTAAATGTTACTGCAACCAAACCAATCATTTTTTAATTATCCACTAATAATTTGTCTAATCAGAAAGAAAGAAAAAGAGTGAGTGATTAAAGAGAAAGAGTGATTAAAAGACCTGGCACAAGCAATGAGTTGGATTACAGATCCAAATAAGAGGAAAGTGCAATTAAATGCGAGTCCTAATGCTTTCCAGTATGACCCAAGTAATCCATCTAGTACTTCGAACCACTGTTGTCAATTGATTTTTGAGATTAGTGAGAAATTTAATTACTTTGAACTAATGAATTATTATTACAGTAAAAAGATGAATAGTAATTGTTACCTGAATAACGTGGTTTTTGAAGCTTTTGCCTTCTTTTTCTTTACGAGCTCTGTATTCAACGTAGAGAACACTGATGAGATAAGCAGTCCAGCTTCCTAGTAATCCATAGAAGATCTGAAGTACTATTCCTGATAACATCCCTAATTGACTGAACGAATACGGTAACGTCAATAGCACTTGCGCCACCTGACAAACAAAATAAACCCCCACAAATTCTTAGTGATAAAATCGAATAGTTCTGGACCGAAACCCGTACATCCAATACCAATCCGGTCGAATTCGAGTTATTTACTTTTACATAAAAATTGAATTGACAAGTTCTGGACCGAAACTCGTACATCTCTCCCGAAAATAAGGAGCCATATGATACAATTTTTTTTTTTTTTTGGGGGTTATATAGAATCTGAAATAAAGAATTTTGAGAGATTTTTTTGGTTTTGGTTTTACCTGGTTAGATGCGCAGCTGAACCAAGCGTCCCAAACAGAGCCACCGTGCCAGAGGAAATTGCTAAGTTGAGAGCCACCGGAGTTACCGTCTTGATGTTCATCGTCTTTACCGGTGCGGTTTCCATTTATCTGATCTGTTCCGTTGTCATTTCCACTCGGGACTATCGCTTCTACTCCTTCCGACATTTTTTTGTTGTAAAACTCTTAGATCTGAAAAAAAAAAACAGAGCATAGAGAGTGAGAGATCTCAGACTTAAAAAAACAGAGGAGAAAGAAAGAGAAGAGACTGTTAAAGCAGAGTGTAAATTATTCTCTGTTCACGTTTTTTTTCTCTCTTCTTTATCAGTGAGCAAAAAAAAACA